TTAAAACTGACAGATAAAAGAATAACGAAAGGAGTGAAAAAAAAGAGAGAGGATATATATATTATAAGTCAACTTTTTTCTTTCTTTTTAAACCAAATAAAAAATATCATTATTTATATTTTTTCTCTCATTCAAACAAATTATTTATGAACATGTAATTAATTATAATTACATTAAAATATTGTTTTAGCATGTATGTTGTACTAGTTAGCTTAATGTTAATTTTAATTAGTTCATATTTTTAAAATTAGACTCATTATCTTTTAAGAGTGGAACGTACTTCCTTAGTTGTGATACATTCCTTAGTTGTGATACATGAAAGACATTATGTAATTTATTCAAGTGCAGTGGTAAAGCTAACTCGTCGAATACTGGTTCTTACGATGTAATATCTGATACAACCTAATAAACTTAAGCGTCAACTTCTTCACTTTCAAGGCTCATCCAACACCCATAATTTGTGATACTCTTAGGAAAATATGATTACCCACCTCAAACTTTAAAAGTTTTCAGCGTCAATTGACATATGATTTCTAACGACTTTAAGTCGCTCTCAGTCTCCTCTGGATCAGTTCAACTTGTTATATTATTCTTCGAAGCATCTCAGTTCCAACCATCAAATGAAACCCGTCTTGGTTGATCACAAACTCGTATTGCTAATTACACTAAACAAAGTAACCACATAGCACTGCAAACGCATGGTTCTTTACAACAATCTATATCATTCAAGCATATACAAAACAATTTAAAAGGAACAATACATATATAAATATACAGGTGTACAGGTCTGACAATATCATATTTATTTTAATATTATTTAATTTAAAATTTATTATAAAATATTCTTTAATTTTAATTTTATACTTTATTAATTTTATGATTTAACTGCACATAATATTAAAATTGATATACTTGTAAATTAAGTTGGCATGATCTTATCTCAATATTATCATGTCTTAATCATGTTAAATTCAAATTTAAAAAAATAATTCTATTAAAATTTTGAAATAAAGATAAACTCGTACCCTATTCTACAATATGTTACCGGCAATTTGAGGCATATATGTACATTATGATACAGAGATTATTTATCATTTACGATTTCGTGCTTTCTATATTTCAAGCAGTGGCTGTTATACATAGAATGGCTAAATAAGCATACATTCTCTACTTAGATTTTTATCCACTTTAATCTCCTAATTAATTATGTTTTCATTCTTAGGAATACACTACACGGGTTTAAAAAATAATGACATATCTTGATATTGTAAATATTAATTTTTAAAAATAGTAAGAAATTAACCGACAAAATTAAATAAAGATTGAAACTATGTGTAAAAGATAAGTGTTTCGAGACATAAATAATAAAATCAACCAACTTTGTGTTTTCTGTTTTGTTATTTGATGTTTTGAAATAATCCACCGTAGTTTTGACCAAAAAAAGAGATAACACCAATCTTGAGAGGCTTGTCATTTTGATTATGAGTTTGAATGGCTAAACTCCAATTATAAAAAAGGACAGCCACAAGATAGTAGGAGGGAGGGTAACATCTTATTCTATCCTAAAGAAAGATGCTTCAATGCCAAACGTGAAACATGTCCTAGTAAGCTTCATAATTGCAAGAATATGTCAATGACCCATCAACAACAAGAAGCTGTAATTGAAAGGGGTTGAGCCTAATTAAGCCAATATTGAAATGAAAGTGCAATGTATAATTGATCGATTAAACTTTGTCTTGATAATTAATGAAGCGGCAAAATTTGACATACCACCAGCTTACAATGTATAAACCAGAGACCATCTCCAACTTTATTTTGATGGCTACTAGAAATTGTCGTGTACGGTCCAAAGCAGACATTAACACTAATAAATAATATGATTTAATGAAATTTATATTTGTTTAGTCTTAAATCAAGTGGTCTTAATTTCACCACCAAAAATCCAATAGTAGATATTCATTATGAGACAATATCCAAAGTACATCCACTTAGTGATTTTAATAAAGGCCATGAATAATAGCAATAGGTTCTTTCTAGGAAGCAGCTTTCAGGCCTTAACAAAAATTAATATTTTCTTGATCGCAACAAAAGAAATTGAACATTAGAAAATTTGAGGACAAGTTCAAAAAGTCAATTATTGAGGACCCATTTGACTCCCAATTTGGCTGCTTCTTATCATTCCTTAAATCAAAGTCTTCAAAGAGGCACTTTCACTCCATCTGTTTTCAGAAAAAGACAGAGACTTTTTATTCGAGATCGTTCTCTGGAAGAAAACGGAGTGAAAGATTAACACCGACGAAGACTTAGTCCTAGTTTATGTTGGTGTTGTAAAAGTAATTATCAGCCTTTCTAACGAAAAAAGCAGGTTATAGTATAAATTATAGATACATATCTCTTAATTACGTGCAATAGTTATATTGAAATTAATTCTATTTAATTTTAACACATATAGATGTGTTTGCGATCTCATTTGACGCACCAGATCAACAATGTCCGTCAAATTTTAAGCACCAAAATACAAATTATTAATAAGAACTTGAGTAATTATTTAACTACATGTATAATATAATAGGCCGTGATTCAGGAATCTTTCGTAGTTCGAACAAATATATTTAAATTTTCATGAAATGGATGATAATGACGACCTTGTTATTTATTTAAATTGGGGAGGTGTGGTGGGACTATTCCGTAATTTATTTGTATTTTTGTAAATTTTACGGTGCTATAGAAAATAAGAGTCCGTAAAATGAGATTATTGTATTCTAGGGTCTTTTATATGTATAAAATAATTATGATTATTAATTTTATACCAATAAATAATAAAATTAATGATTTATTTCAAAATATAAATATTCTTTAATTTCTAAGACATCATAAAAATTATAACTCTTAATTTGTAGTATGCAATGCTCCCTCATGTTTAAAAATATCTTAACAAACACCTTCTCTTTTTCTTTTCTTTTTATTTTAAATTTTTATTTCCTTGTATACTTTTATGTTTTAAAGCTTCATTCTTCAATCTCTTTTGCTTCTATTTTAACAAGAAACTTATAGAAGATATGAGTCTAAAAACTCTAGTTACGTATGGTTAATATATACAACATGTTATTAGGATTTCTGTTTGAAAAGTCTTAAAATATAATATTGATTACTATTTTTTAAAAAATATTTTTTAAATAATATCTTTATTTATATATATCACTCTGCAATTTTTTAACAAGAATCTTTTAACAAAATTATTTTATTATAACAACATATATAATTAATATTTTTTTTAAGAAGTACGTATTGTTTTTAAAAAAATAGGAGAAGGAAAACATATTATAATTGATTGGCTGACCAAGCTATAATTAGCAAAAACATTTATTTTGGATACTCATTTACGGGCATTCTAATGCATTTATATTTTTATTTCTTATTATATGATCGGTGTGTTTCTTTAATACGACATTTAGAAATAGAAATAGGTAATGTTGACTCATGTTGTTTAACAGGAGTTTATAGCTCCACCTTTTTAAAGTTTAACTTAACTTATATAAGTAATAAGCTTAATTAAAAAAATTTAATTAATTAAATAGGTTAAATTTAAAGTTAAATAAAAGTCTATTAGGTCTATTAGAATGACTTATTTAAAATTTTTAAAATTTATAATAATATAATAGTATATTAAATAAATTAAATTTAAAAATAAATAAAATTTTAAATTATAAACTCTAATTCTCATTGTTGGAGTTGTAGAATATCTTTATTGCATATCTTTTTAAAAAAAAGTTTTATTTGTTAAAATCTTATTTAAGTTCTATAATTAGAGATATCATTGTTTTTGGTACAGAAGTTCTTATAAAAATAAAAAATGTCATACCTTTGAGTGTAGTTTAAACTACTAATTTAATTAATTGAAAGTAACCAACTAAGCTTATGATGAAACTTAAAAATCGACCACTGATCCAATTTGAGTACTTCTACAAGATAAACCTCAATAGAAAATTGTAGAGTAATGGCAACAAGTGATTGAGTTCAATAGTTCTTCATATGAAATTATTGACTTTATAGATATACTAATATGGAGAAGACAAAATTGTTTCAAGCATCAACTTGTACTTATAACACTGATTTGTATTTATACTATTTTGATTAAGTATTTTGATGAAGTAGAAATATGTAATTTTATTATATATATTCAAAGTATCGAATCTTTTTTTTATATAACTTATTCAAATATAAGTCATATAACCTTTATAAAGATATACCTATTTAGATGATTTAATAGCTAATATATATGCTTTAATGATCTATTGAAGGTTTTAATACGAAGTAGGCTATTAAAAATTTTAATAGGTGAAAACAAGCTTATAAAAAAGACTAGGCTAAGCTAGGCTTAATAAAAAATTTATGATTGATAATAGGCTAAATTTAAGCTTAAAAATTATTAAATAGGTTAGGCCTATTTATACAAAGCAGTCTAACCTATTTTCATTTCTAATAATATTGTAATTAACCACTTAATTCACAATTTCGTAGAAAATTAATAGGTAAGAAAGGTGGTCATGAGCTTCTCCTCACAAATAAATAGTTTTGTTTTTATAATAAATATAAAAGCTCTCGTACCATATAAAAATAAAAATGGACAGAACTTAATTCAGTTCCAACATTGGCTCAACCAGAAAACTTATCCAAGTCATTATAAGAAAGTTTCAATTTTAAGGGTTGATCCTTCCCTCGAATTCCAACAGAAGTGCATGTGTGTGAGAGTGATCAATAGTTTGAGCCCAACCTAAAGAAATAGGGACTATGGCCCATATGTGGAAAGAGATCTGGACTTGGGTCAGTGGACTCGAATCAGTTTTAGAAAAGAGATAGGACTATTGGGCCAGAGTAAAGATTTATAACAGGATGAGAAGTTTGCTCAGCAAAAGAAGTGTTCAAGTTGAACTATAATACTTGTTTATCCTATAAAAATAATATAAACGGTCAATGTAATCTTAAAAAGTTGGTTAATCTTATCTAATTCATGTAAAGGTCAAACTAGAAAGTACGTGGAAGTAGGACGTGTTGGCTTACGTGAATTTGATGAGGACTAGTGAGGAGATGGGTATAAAAGGGACGTGTTGTTGTAGAGTGTGAAGGAACGGAAGAAGATGGGCTGGAGAGGGATATTGGGTTTTGAATATGGTATAGTTCAGGCGCCATTAGGCCCTGATATCTCTGCTCCTCAACTTGTTGCTGCAGTTGCCAATGCTGGTGCTATTGGACTTCTCAGGGCCCCTGACTGGGTAACATAGCATTCTGTTTCTTCAATTTCTGTATCAATTTAGTGTTTCCCATCATAAATGTATGAATTTGTAGTATAAGATCCTTATTATAAGAAGTGTAAGCATTATTGGGGAGAATTCTCTTCTATCAGGAATCTCCAGATTACATGAGGGGGCTCATCAAGACCACAAGAACCTTAACTGATAAACCGTTTGGGGTTGGTGTTGTTCTAGCCTTTCCTTGTGAGGAGAACTTAAAGGTGATTCTGGATGAAAAAGTAGCAGTCTTGCAAGTTTACTGGGGTGATTGTACAAGGGAATTGGTAAACAAGGCTCATTCTGCTGGGGTCAAAGTTGTTCCACAAGTGAGTTTTGTTTTGTGCCCATTTATTAATCAGTGATGCTACTGTATTTTCTCTCTTTATTTCTTTCCGTCACATGAAGAAATTTCTTTCCTTGTTCTGTGTGTTTTTTTTCTTCCTTGACATAGTACAGATAAAAAGTCTATCATAGAAGAGTTTAGAATTTATGATGTTTGCTTTCAAAACTGCAATTGGATGATTGTTAGTACTAGGTCGGTTATTTGATTTAAGTGATACAGTGGCCCTTTATTAGGCATGCGGCAGCTAATTGTTGGTTACTGTTAGCATGGGGTTATTTTCATTTTACTGTCTGTTATTGGTATTTGATCTTATTTTCTTTGTAATCCTATTATAGGTAGGGACTATTGAAGGTGCGAAGCAGGCAATTGATGCTGGAGCCGATGGAATAATTGTACAAGGACGAGAAGCTGGTGGTCATGTCATTGGTCAGGTGTACATTTTTACCGTGCCAATTCAAGCATATGATATGATGGTAGAAAAAAAAATGCTGATAACATTTTTACTTTTCAGCGGCCCATACAATTTTTAACTTGAATGAAGTGGCTACTGTCTTACACAAGACATGCAATAACAATTGACACATTGGTGTCTGTCATACTGAGTTTGATAGAAGAAATTCAAGTCGGACTAGTTGTACTAAGATATGGAGACACTTGTGTAGTTGTGGTTGCAGGTGTTGAATAAGTTGGCATTAAGTTTTTATTTCTTGAGAAACTTGTCAACAAAACCTTCAAGATCTGTTTAGCATCCCGCTTCTCAGCTTAAATTGAATACCTAAAGATCTTTGGGTCATTGTTTGTGTTATGAACTGTGTAAAAATCAGGAAAAGCCTTAATCATCTTCTTAGTTGTTGTCAGTGGAAGACCATCACTTATATATGCTATGTGCTCAGAACCTTTGAATAAGTTCATCTTTTATTGTCTGTCATTGTTTTATTGCTCTTTAGTGACTGATGTGAATGAGAGATAATCATACTTTTGAATTATGTAATCCACACTAGTACTCTTCATTTCTGCTACTCAGAGATGATACTGAATTCCCCTACATTTAACTTCAGGATGGTTTAATTTCACTGTTGCCAAGGGTGGTCGATCTTGTTGGTGACCGAGAGATACCCGTTATAGCAGCAGGAGGAATTGTGGATGCTCGAGGTTATGTTGCTGCTCTGGCACTTGGTGCCCAAGGCGTCTGTCTAGGCACTAGGTTTGAAATATTTAATTTTACATTAATCATATTTAAGGAAAATGTTCTCATATTCTTGCAGTAATATCTTAGCATATGCAATTATGCAGCTTTTGTGTACAACTCAAGAGTAGCTTCCGCACCCTTAGAAGCCTATCTTCAGGCTAATAAATTACTCAATTTATTTCTCATGAAATTAAGACCAGACTCAATTGGTTGTGACCAGATGTACCGCAGTTCCAACATTATCACCATGTCTAACTTAAAATAATCTAAATTTGAATTGCACTTATTTCTGGCACTGTTACACTTTTTTTTATCAATGTTTTCATGCTAATTGTCTTGTTTGCAGGTTTCTGGCAACTCATGAAAGCTATGCTCATCCAACATACAAGAGGAAGTTGGTTGAACTTGATGAAACTGAGTACACTGATGTATTTGGGAGGGCAAGATGGCCTGGTGCGCCACAACGTGTCCTGCAGACACCATTCTACAAGGAATGGAGATCCCTTCCGGCCCATGAAACTGAAGTCAACCAACCTGTAATTGGCCACTCAACGATTAATGGCGAGGTATGGTTTCAGTAATAGTAGTAGCGTAGCATCTTTATATACAAGAAACAGTGTTACAACCTTTAGTGTTTGACTATATCTTTGCCACCCAACAGGAAAAAGAGATACGACGTTTTGCAGGAACTGTCCCAAACATGACAACCACAGGAGATCTTGAGAGCATGGCGATGTATGCTGGTCAAAGTGTTGGTCTCATCAAGGAAATTCTGCCAGCTGCTCAGGTAGTGAAGAGGCTAGTTGAAGGGGCTCAGCTTATAATGCACCAAAAATTTATTAAATAGATTCGTTGTCCAATGTTAAGCGAGAGTTGGCTTTTACATTCAGTAGCTTAGCTTGGACAAATTTACTTTCAGGATGCTTCATTTGGAGAAATGTTACATTTTTATATTACTACATGAAAAATAAAAGAAGAAATAATAAAATATACTACAAACATTGCTTCACCATTGTACATCACTGAAAAGAAAAGAAATTAATTTAGTTTAAGTAGCCCACTTTGTTCAAGTTAATGTTGAAGAACCAGGTCTTATTTTTTTCATCTCCATGATCTAATGTCATGTTTTCTCTCTCCCCAAATCATCAATTCATGGATTGCTTCTCCACCTCTATGTTCTTTACATACTGCGGCAATGGAGATGGGGTCTGTTCATTAGACATGTCTATGCTCTGGAATGTAGCCTGTTCTAGACTGGACTCTGCATCCCACCCACTTGGCCCAGTGGCCCACAACATCTAGGCAAACGATATTTGGGCCCAAGTTGAGATATCAAAGTTAAATCCCTCATAAATGAATAAAATCTTGTTGCTCAACAACAATGTTAACCTCAATTTTAAGGACAGAAGATAAGTAAATAATAATAATAATAAAATTTTATTTTAAAATAATTATTTATTATATTTTTATAATTTTAATATAATAAATGTGTATATTTTTTATAATTTTTTTAAAAATTATAAATATTTAAATTCATTCTTTAGAATTGAGGTTAAGAAGACAAAAATAAATAAATAAATAAATCTTTTTATATATCAATCAATTGCTTATGTGAACCAAGTTTTTTTTTAAGTTTGGTCCCACAAATAATCGAAAAGTGTACGATTAAACCCTAGCTCTGCTGCATAGTTAGACAACACATAATGATAATTAAGTTGCAGCTGGTACAATTTCCACAGTTGGAATAGTAAGTCATAACTCATAAGTATTCAATAGATAAATGTCTACAGTGGTATAAATTAATTTTACTTACTGCCTACAACTAATAACATGTTTTTTTTAGAGTTAATTTAAAAACAAATTGTAAAAAAAGGTCTTTGTAATATATTTTCTATTTAGAGTAATTTTTTATATGAGACACGAGTATGATTTTTATTAATGATAATTTTTTTAAATGAGTATTATCGTAATATATATTGTCAACCCTTATTTAAACTGACACGTGTCAAAAGTAAAAAATGAATAAATAAATTTAAAATTCAAAAAATTTAAATCACAAAGGTAGAAAATGTCATGTAGGACCATTTTATATAAATAGGACTTACCACGTGGTATAATTGTAGTTATTGTTGTCCCTAATACGTGGTGATTAGGTGACATGTCAAAAGTTATAGTGAACAAGGAATATGTTTTACAGAGTCTATTTTAATAATTCACTTTTAAATTAACCCAGGTTGGAAAAAAAAAAAAAAAAACTTATGACAAGCTTCCTGCTTGGAAAAATATGAAGTATAGATTAAATAATAGCAAGACAATTAAGTCATTGCATACCGCAAAGACTACACAAACTGGCCTTCTAACCAAAGCATCACCTCATTTTAACTTCACAATGCCTCATATTCATGAAGGGAACATCAATGCATTATCAAAGTACTGTGATACAGACAAGTAAAACACTCTAATGTTGTTTAAGCAACACCTCCTTAATCACTCTGTCTAAGTTCATGTATGAACCACCACCGGGTCTGGTGCGCTCCTCTGCCTTCTTCTTCAACTCCATGATCTTTTGCCTCATCTTCTTTCCCTTCTCTCCCACCATCAATTCATTGACCAACTTTCCCACCTCCTCTCTCCTCACATTGGTATTAATTTCAATCCCAATGTCCCACTCATTGCATATATATCTACAGTTTGTTTGTTGATCGGCGAAAAAAGGCCAACACAACATAGGCACTCCAGCACAAACACTCTCAGTCGTCGAGTTCCATCCACAATGAGTCAAGAATCCACCAATTGAAGGGTGGTTCAACACTTGCTCTTGCTGACACCAACTTGCTATTAGGCCTCTGTCTCTTGTTTCGTTAACAAATTCAGATGACAAAATGACTGAACCGCCAATGACAAGGTCAGGCCTAATGATCCACAAAAAGGGTTTCTTGCTGTTGGCCAAACCCCAAGCAAACTCCAACAGTTGCTCTGCAGACATAACTACGACACTGCCAAAATTCACATAAACAACAGACCTGGGTTTCTTGTTTTCAAGCCATTCAAGACACTCAGAATCTTCTTTCCAAAGATTGGAACCTAAAGATGCCAAGTGCTTTTGTGGACTTTGATTTAATAGTAAAGGTAAAGGACCAATGGTGTAAAAAGAAGAGAACATAGAGGAGAGAGCATTCAATGCATTACTTTCAAGTTCATCAAAAGTATTAATAACAATAGCACAGTCTCTATGAACTCTACCAGCTACTTCAATGAGAAATTCAATCATCAAGTCCTTAGGATCAGTTGTCCTTATATAGGTAGGCAGGTCCTTCAATCGAAAGCTTTGCATACCTGGAATACATTCTACTTTGGCGTTCAAATACCCATTTGTCAAATAACTCTCATCTGCATATTATAATCGCAAAAGCCAATAGCTTTAAAAGATCCATCCATGAATATGTATAGTATAGTACACACTGATACCAAACTCAATGGTGAAATAACTTAAATTGATACCTTTGAGGGGTGTGATTCCTTTTTCAACCAAAGTAGGAAAGTGGATAATAGACAACAATGTGGCTGCACTTGCTGGACAAAAGAGAAGGACAGGGAGTGCAAGTTCTTGAGCAGCTTGTATAGGAAAAGTCATGAAGCAATCAGAAACTAAGCAAGTAACAGGAGGGATGAGACCAACAGTGGCAGAACGATTAAGTCTAGCAAGAAGGTTGAGAAAGGGGTGAAGGAAGTTCTTTCTTGTTGAGTCACAAAGAGAGACTAAGTCTTGATGTTGAGAATCATCATCAGCATCTACGGGGTGAAGACCATCTGGTATAGTCTCAAAGCAAAAGTCTGAGAGGCCATCAAGGGCTTTGGAACCCCTTGATTTGAGCAAGCGTTTGTGGACATACTCAGTGTTGACAAAGGTTATGTGAAAGCCTCTGAGATGCAGCAGCTTCGCTAGTTTCAACAAAGGGTTAATATGACCTTGAGCTGGATATGGAGTCAACACTGCATGTGGTTGTGTCTCTGCAATGCAACTCATCTTCTATTTTTTCTGTGAACGTGAAGTTGATTGAGATGAAGTGGATAAACCCCTGGTATATGAACAAAAATTATTGCACACTCAAAACAAATAAATTGAGACCTTTTTTTAATACTTATAAATTGTAATTTTGTGGCTTATATTTTTGGTATGACGAGCCGTGATTTTTGCAACAAATTGGTACTATGTAGATTCAATTTTTTGACATTGCATCTCCTAAATTAAACTTGTAAAAATCCTGTCACCAAGAAATATTCTGGCTAAGTTATGGTAGATTTTTTAACATTAATATTTATATTTATATTAATTTGTGGATTAATATTATTAAATTATTATAGTTATATTGTTATTAATTATGACGTAAAATAAATGTGTATAATAATAATAATAATTATTATATAGATTTTGTAATTGGACTTTTAGGGTGAATAGTTTGTTATGGGTTGAACTATTTTATGTGTCTAGTGAGAGGTTCCTGCTCTCATCTGATTAGGCTTATATAACTGTTGTCCCATTAGACAGTTATTAGAGTGGGATAATAACAATCAGATAAGAGAGTATTAGACAGTTATTAGAGTGGGATAATAGCAATCAGATAAGAGAGTAGTATACGCTCACTCGAAAACAAGGATTGTTTATGACTCATGGGTTCTCATCAGGATTGCTTATGACTCGTGGGTTCTCATCAGGTGTTTAACGCAATTATTCAATTACATATAATTGAAATTGTATTGAGATGTTATAATGTGTATTATATATAATTATGTTATCTTTAATTTTATATTTAAAATTCCTGCAAATGGTATCAGAGCCAACTTAATACACATCGTAATTTTCCAACTTCGAGCATACAAAATGCTATAATTTTATATATGGATTTGAAAAATAATTTAGGATTTTTTTGTTCCTCTTATATTCATAAAAGACATGTCAATAAAAGTGACGTCAACAAAACATATATCTCATAAAGAAATTAGATAATAATGTCAACAAACAAATACAAAATTTAACTTCCACTAATCCAAAATATCAAAAGACTTGACGAGACCCATATGAGCTACATGATTCTAAAAAGCTCCAATGGTTAAGCCTTTGGTTAGTGGATATGCTAACATGTTCTTTGTAGCAATGTATACAATTTGAGTCTAAAACTCAAGTACTTTCTCTCTAACAAACAAATACTTTAGATCAAAGTGTTTCAAACGAGTAGAACTCTTATTATTCTAAGAGAGAAGTACAACAGCAGTATTGTCGCAATAAATCACAAGTGGCCTAAATATACTTTTAATAATGCGGAAACTAGAAATCAAATTCTTGAGCCACATAGCCTAGCGGGTAGCCTCATAACAAACGACATACTTTGTTTTCATAGTAGAAGTAGCTATAACTATCTATTTGACACTTTTCCAATATACAACTCCTCCCGCCATCATAAAAATAAAGCCTGAAGTAGACTTACGGTCGTCAGGGCAACCTACAAAATTAGAGTATCCAATGACCTGAAGTTGATTAGACTTCGCATAGGTCAACATATAATCTTTGGTTCCCTGCAAATATCTCAAGACCTTCTTCACAGCTTTCCAATGACCCAAACATGGGTTGCTCAAGTGTCTATCCAAAGCATTAACAACATAAGCAATATCGGGACGAGTACAAACTTAAGCATACATCAAACTCCCAATAGCGGAAGCATATGAAACTTTTTCTATTTCAAACAACTCTCTATCATCATGAGGATACCAAAAAATTAGAGAGTTTCTCACCCCTTTGAATAGGCGCGACACATAGGGAGCAAGAATACATATTAAACCTTTTGAGGATTCTATTAATGTACCTTTTCTGAGACAATCTAAGAGTAACACGAGACCTGTCATAACATATCTGGATGCCTAGAATAATAGAAGCATCATCAAGGTCTTTCATATCAAAATGGCTACTCAATATATTTTTTGTCTCATTCAAAGATATCATAAACATGTACGACAAAGATGATAAAATTGCTCCCACTCATCTTCAAGTAAATGCACAGATCTCAAGCATTTTCCTTGAAGCCAATAGAAGTGACCACTTGGTCAAACTTCAAGCACCACTGTCTAGAAACTTACTTCAAACCATAAATGGATTTTATTATTCTATAATTAAATTCAAGTTATAACAAATTTTGATTTATGTTAGTCCACACAAAATATTCAACAATTTATCTCCCACTTGGACAACATAGATCAGAACATCTTATTATTCTAGACAGCACGATTAAACAACATGGTTTAATATTTTAATATCTAATTAATCTAGAATTAAATTCAAGTTATAACAAAAATTGATTTATGTTAATCCACACAAAATATTCAACAATTTATCTCACACTTGGACAACACAAATCAAAACATCTTATTATTCTAGATTAATCAACAATATGTGGCCATAACAAGATGTCAAAATAAACTAACACAAACTATAAATATCTTAACAATGCAGAAAATCATATTCGAAGGAGTAGTAATATCATACATTATAAGATACTTATATCATGTAACTCAACAACTCTAGTGGTATAAGTAAGATAATAAAATCTAGAACCCCCTAGAGTCTACACAATATCCTACAAAGAAACTGCTAATTGATATTTATGAACAATGAAAGATAATAAGTCTTTTTCGTCTTATCAAATTTCTTAAGTTTCTTGCTTAGAGGCACTATTAAGATTTCACAATTTTGCGACGAATCTTTGACAAAGAATTTGTCACTAATTTATCAGCGACGGATATTGTGACTAAACTTACTTCTTAGTACTACTCATTTCAAGATCATTGTTTATGATGAACTTCATAATTACTAGACATATTTTATTAGAATGAGCCCATTTAACATGTTTTACTATAACCGCAGCGGAAGATTCAGGTGTAGAAACTTTAGACTTATTCTCAATAAGGGCAACATTCACATTAGAAAATGGCAAGGAACAATTTAACAAAGTCAACTCAATCCTCATAATTGGTCCTATTCAAAGTTTTCATCGAAGTGGACATAGACACTGATGTGGGCATAGACACTTATATGAGAAACAACAAAGTTTAATATGCACAATTAGCTCAAGTGCAACAATAATATGCCCATCACAAAATTTCTTACCTACTATGATCCCACCTAAGGGTCCCGGATCACAATAAATAAGAAGGATGAATACGATGCACAAAACTTCATGTCACAAAAATCCTAACACCGATAGGGTATTAGTACAAAATTGACGTAAGCAAAACATAATTGCATAGTATTTTCAAATCACATTAATAGCAACACATCAATAGGATATAATTATTATTAATGTAATATATAATTATATAATTTACACAAGTCATGTATAAATGGTCTCACGATAGGTGGGATGACATTTATACAGAATAATCATGCATTCAAAATTAATTTAAATATGTATATTATGCATGAAATCATAATTATACCAAAATTACATCAAATAATTTACATAAAACTAATTTTTTTAACATATATGACATTAAAAAAGAGAGTGAATAGTATAAAAAATGTCATAAATATCAAATATTAGTATAATCATGTGTATAAAAAAAATTGGATCATATTCCATCAATACAATAATTATTTAATTAATTTAAGCACGAGTTAATTAATTAAAAAATATTTACAGTGCTTAAAAAATTATGAAAATTGTCTAAAAAATTTAATATTAAAATAATCCTCCACTCGGCGCTCTCTCAGCCACGCGAGTGGGCTTCATACACTTAAAAAAAAAACCCATCAGCTGATGAGAATTTGATTTCTGGCTTCCGCATTATTAAGAGTATATTTAGGCTACTTGTGATTTATTGCGACAATATTGCTACTGTACTTCTTTCTTAGAATAATAAGAGTTCTACTCGTTTGAAACACTCTGATCTAAAGTATTTGTTTGTTAGAGAAAAAGTACTTGAGTTTTAGACTCACATTGTATACATTGCTACAAAGAACATGTTAGCATATCCACTAATCAAAGGCTTAACCATTGGAGCTTTTTAGAATCTTGTAGCTCATATGGGTCTGGTCAAGTCTTTTGATATTTTGGATTAGTGGGAGTTAAATTTTGTATTTGTTTGTTGACATTATTATCTAATTTCTTTATGAAATATATATTTTGTTGACGTCACTTTTATTGACATATCTTTTATGACAATTTTTTTTTATTTGGACCTTTATGGAAATGATATTTATGTTTTCTTTATCTATATTGTTATTGAAATATAAATTGCTTGTAGTATGTAATGTATACCCCTATCGGATATAATTGTATACTATCGAGAGCTTACTATTTCTTTGGTGATAATTAATAACTTGTTACGACAACATAGTTTGTGAACTTAGTAATTTAATAATGCTATCCAAGTGGGAGAATGTTAGATTTTTTAACATTAATATTATATTTATATTAATTTATGGATTAACATTATTAAATTATTATGGTTATATTGTTATTAATTATGACGTAAAATAAATGTGTATAATAATAATAATTATTATTATTATATAAATTTTGTAATTGGGCTTTTAGGGTGGATAGTCTGTTATGGGTTGGACTATTCTATGTGTCCAGTGAGAGGTTCCTGCTCTCATCTGATTAGGCTTATATAACTGTTGCGACAGCTACTAGAGTGGGATAATAGCAATCAAATAAGAGAGTAATATACGCTCACTCGAAAACAAGGATTGCTTATAATTCATGGGTTCTCATCCGGATTGCTTATGACTCGTCGGTTCTCATCAGCTACGCATTTAATGCAATTATTCAATTACATATAGTTGAAATTGTATTGAGATGTTATAATGTGTATTATATATAATTATGTTATTTTTAATTTTATATTTAAAATTCCTGCAAGTTATACAATTAGTTTTGATTCTTTGCTTAATTTTTATTTATTTATTTATTTGATAATCTAATTATGAATTGCTGGTCATTAAATAAGTTTTTCCTCAAATTCACTGGACACACGGATATACTTATATTACATTTTAAAATTATATTGTATTTTTATGTAAGCTATGATTTAAACCAACCCAAGCCACCTTATGAAAATTGGGAAAATTCTTTGTTTGATAGTTAATTAGGAACACAAATACCAAATGCAGATCGCAAAAGCCACAACTACAACTAAAAGCTGACCTTGAATTGCCAAAAATTACAAAAGAAATTTCAATACCTTCTAACCTGGAGCTTGCTATGCCATTGGAAATATCAGGAGAACGCCATATAATTACTAAAGTATTTAGACTAATTAAACTAAGAGTCGTTTAATTTAAGAAAATATTTTCATTTTATTCTTCTTCATTTTTAATTATAAAAGCACTACATTATTTTTGTTTAATTTCTTATACATTTTTTCAAATAGAAGTTAGACGATGTTTTTATAAAATAAAACACATTTTCTTAAACTCAACGATTCCTTAACTCCTCATTTATAAATGAGCCAACCTTGTTCCTGTTACTTTGTTTTTTCCATTAGGAGACAGTGAAGCCTAAACTATTTGAGGGGAATGCATAATAATAAGACAAGAAGGAGGTGGAATAAAGAACCCATGATTACACAATGTTTCAAAAGTATTTGAGGTAAATGAAAGCAACTAAAAATGGATATTTTCGATTATCCCTTTCACCAATAGGAAAAACAAACTTTTCACATCCACTGCTCTTACATGTTCAACAGAAGAAGATCAATATGTCAATACTAAATCTGATTTTGTTTGTGCAAAACATCCTTAATCATTCTGTCAAAGTTCATGTAGGAAAAACCACCGGGCTTGGTGTTCTCCTCTGCCTTCTTCTTCAACTCCATGCTCTTTTGCCTCATCTTTTTTCCCTTCTCTCCCAGCATCAATCCTTTGACCAGATTTTCCACCTCTTCTCTCTTCACATTGGCATCAATTTCCATCCCAATGTCCCACTCTTTGCATATATTTCTACAGTTCGTTGGCTGATCAGCAAAAAATGGCCAACACAACATAGGAACTCCAGCACAAACACTTTCAGTCGTTGAGTTCCATCCACAATGAGTCAAGAATCCACCAATTGAAGGGTGGTTCAGCACTTGCTCTTGTGGACACCAACTTGCTATTAGGCCTCTATCTCTTGTTTCATTGACAAACTCAGATGACAAAATCACTGAACCACCGACGACAAGGTCAGGCCTAATGATCCACAAAAAGGGTATCTTGCTTTTGGCCAAACCCCAAGCAAACTCCAGGAGCTGCTCTGCAGACATAACCGTAATGCTCCCAAAATTCACATAAACAACGGATCTGGGTTCCTTGTTTTCAAGCCATTCAAGACAGAAAGCATCTTCTTTCCAAAGATTGGATCCTAGAAATGCCAAGTGCTTAATTTGATTTTGATTTAAAAATGAGGGTAATGGACCAATGGTGTAAAGAGAAGGTAACATAGAGGAGAGAAAATTCACTGCATCACCCTCAAGTTCATCACAAGTATTAAAAGCAACAGCAGAGGCTCTGGGAATTCTATCAGCTACTTCAATGAAAAATTCTATCAAGAAATCATTTGGATCTGTTGTCCTTATAAAGCCAGGTAGATCCTTGAGGCGAAAATTTTGTTGACCTGGAATACATTCTACTTTGGTGTCCAAATATCCATTTGTCAGATAACTCTCATCTGCATATCATAACCACAAAAGCCAATAGCTTTGAAAGATCCATACATGAATAAATATAGTACACATTGCTACAAAACTCAATGGAGAAAGAACTTAAATTGATACCTTTGAGGGGTGTGATTCCTTTTTCAACTAGAGTTCGAAAGTGCATAAAAGACAAAAATGAAGCTGCACTGACTGGACAAAAGAGAAGGATAGGGAGTGCACGTTCTTGGGCAACTTGTATAGGAAAAGTCACGAAACAATCAGAAACTAAGCAAGTAATTGGAGGAATGAGGCCAGCAGAAGCAGAACGGTTAAGTCTTTCAAGAAGGTTGCAAAAGGGGTGGATGAAGTTGTTTCTAATTGAGTCACAAAGAGAGGGTATGGGTTGACTAACATCAGCATCATCATCCATTGGGGGAAGGCCATCTGGGATGGTCTCATAGCAAAAATCTTGAAGCCCATCGATGGCATTGGGACTCCTTGATTTGAGCAAACGTTTGTAGTTGTACTCAGTGTGTACAAAGGTTATGTAAAAGCCTCTGAGATGAAGCAGCTTTGCTAGTTTGAACAATGCGTTGATATGGCCTTGAAGTGGAAATGGAATGAGCACAGCATGTTCCTTTCTCTCTGCAAAGCAACCCATCTTTGCAAACGACCATATCAATCAAGATTTTCCTCGCTGCCCATTCTTACCGACATAAGAGAGAGATATATACTATTTTGTGAGGCAAAAATGTTTCTTAAAGAGCAACCTTTTCTACGTGGAGCCTATTTTATTTGAATTGGATTAAAGATTTCAACGTTGAAAAAATTGCCTATTCGCACCCATATCTATTATTATTTTAATTTTATTTTTTTTACAAAATATCCTTATTATTAATATGATTATCAGAGAGAAAAAAATATTCTAGACAAAATTCACTTTAAAAAAAATAGTATTAGAGATAGATTACAACAACAAACACACCTTAAAAATAAACCCCGAGGTGAAAATATAAAGACGCATCGTTAAAAAATGTTAATGACGTAACTCATGATCCTTTTTCCTAATGTTTCCACGGACTTTAGTTTGATCCTACAACTAATTGAATGGGAGATATAAACTTTCAAGCTACCGAACTTTACTGGAAAGATGTGGAGTAAATACCGACGGTTCAAGCTACCTTTGTACAATATATGATTATATAAATAAACTTAATTAGCCTTCAGTTGAATCACTCACTAGGGTGGTTGGAGCTAAAAAATTTACAAGATTTAATGGCTGTGTCGATGAGTTCCTTTATGTCTTTCTTTCCATCTCAGTTGCTGCTGCTACTATTTCATCTCTTTCATAATGCACACTGTGGCAACATTGTCAACACCTTACCCGGCTTTCAGGGTCCGTTGCCTTTCAAGCTTGAGACTGGGTAGGTTGCATCTCACTCTTGTTATGAGCATATGCATAATTTTTAACACAACGTGCTTACCCAATTCATATTTATCAATTTTAAGAAAACGGTTTCTATTTAATTGAATTAACTAAAATAACGAGAGTTTTTTTTTCCCGCCGTACATATATCTTAGACATAGATAAGGAAGATTTTCATTTCTTGCTTACTTTTTTTATTATTTTCCGTATTACCAAAAATATTAGGAAGAGAGAATCCATATCAAAAAGTTGAAATAATGATATTCATTATTATTTGAAACATTGCAACGAGTAATATTGATGAATTTGGTAAAGATTCTGAAAGAGAGAAATTCGAACCTTTGGTAAACAAAAAGTCTACATAGCAATTCCAATGCTACGCCTTGAACTATTCGGCCTTGAATCATTGATATTTTATTTTGGTAGGCCCATAAAACTAATTTGACCTAAAAAAATAAAAAAACCTTTTTGACAATGCAAATAGTATATGAACTATCTGACATGGTTCAAGTCAACTACATGTTCGATGTAATTCATTTTAAATAAACTATTGTTTTCTCTCTCTCTAACGTGCATAAAGTCTATAGTTTGAGTATGCACAATCATTCCCAGATTTGTTTACTATATTTAATTAGTATAATTAACATCGATGATGAGAAGTGGATTTGATATTGATTCTCCAGCTCAAAGTATGGGATATTGTCCAAAAAATGAAATTTTGTTAGTCAAAGTAAAGAAACTAAGTTACTTTTAGGTTTGGCTGGTAGCATATATAACTAAAACTATAATTTTTTTTATAAGGATATGCAAATATAAATCTGTGGTCTTTTTGACAGATATACTTTAATCTCATTTGCATTTTCCTTTCCTTTTTCAATTTAAAATGTATGCTAAATGGCATAATTTCTTGTGATGAAGATATGTAGGGGTGGAAGATTCAGAGCTCTTCTACTATTTTGTTGAGTCAACTGGAAGGCCACACGTTGATCCTCTTCTCCTTTACTTGGTTGGAGGCCCTGGATGTTCGGGTTTAAATGGACTATTCTACCAAATTGGTATGTTCCAATGCATGAGCTACTCTTGCTGATTAATTTAGATATGTGATTCTCGCATATCTAAATCTTTGTTTTTTCCCTCCTTAAGTATTGAGGAAGGTTACCCAACTTGAGGTAATTTATTTCCATACCCCTATATAATATTTTCTTGGGAGTTGGCTACTTAATATCATCTCGGTCGTTGATGTTAGAACAAATTTTTTAAATAATTTAAAAATATAAAAAAAAGGCTAGTAATATATTTTCTAACATATTCTTTATAATAAAATTCCACCACTCATATTTAAATATATGTTTTTTTTTTTATAAATTATAAATTTTCAATAGATAACTTATGTGATTAGTGATGACTATAAGATTTCAAACCAAGTAAAAAATTTTAATCAGGAGAGTCATTATAGTGAGATGGTATATTATTTATTTTGTTTCTCCTGTTCTTAAGGTCCTCTGGCTTTCAATGGGACAGATTATTCTGGGGGTTTACCACAATTAATCTTAACATCCTTCGCCTGGACAAAGGTGAAAACCTCGCATCACTCCCATTTCCCCCCACTATAATTGTCTTGTCAATTTGTAACTTCAATTGGTTTACAGTTATGATTAAAATTTTTAGACAGCTAGCATAATATTTCTTGATGCTCCTGTTGGCACTGGCTTCTCCTATGCTACAACCCCACAAGGTCACGTTATTTCAGACACGATATCAGCTAGACAAACTTACAAATTCTTAAGGAAGGTAACATCAATTCTAGTCTAGAAAATACTTGCTAGTTATATTATCTTAACTAAAATGATGCATGTAACTTAAATTCAAATGCAGTGGCTGATTGAACATCCAGAATATATCTTGAATAGGGTCTATATTGCCACGGATTCATACAGTGGATTGTTTGCGCCAATCATTTCACAGTATATATTAGATGGTAAGTTTGAATGATCAAGCTTTTCTTCTCTTAACTGTAGCTAAGATGCCAGTTTATTATGTAGGTTAATTCAATCGGTAGAATCCAATAATCATTATAAATTAAAAAAATCTTTAATTTGATTCTTACATGTAATATTTTATTATTAAGTGATTTGCAAATACCATTGTGATTCCTCCCGTATTGTAGCATGTCCTGACCTTGAAAATAGAATATTCTCTTCTTATATAAACTACGGCAAAAAGTATACTCATGAGGCTTGTTAATCAATAATACATCAAATTTTAATTCTATAGGTCTAATTAATATGAATCACATGATCTAATTATGAACACGACATAATAGAAGTTTGAATCATCACTGTTGTCTATAAATCAAGTCAAATAATAGGTTTCCTTTGCTATTAATGTATTCAATCTATGAAAGTAAAATTTCTTAATTAGATTTGAACCAATTAAATTTTTGTGAGGACAAAAGTGTAAACTTATATAAAATGTTAAACTGTCAAATATTGTTATCTTGGCCTTTCTTCTCGATCGACCATCTGAAATTTGATAAATTGACGGACCCATAGGTGTATATGAATAGATTTTGGAACCAATGACTAAGATTGCATAATTACCATACTAAGACGGTGATTTTAATTTAGAAGACTCGTACTTGTGGTATATGCAGGTAATGCAGCTAAACAGCAGCCATATATAAACTTGATAGTAAGTGATGCGTGCGTTTCTATGGTCACTATGCATCATATTTGGGGGCTTTAAAAGATTACGTGTATATATATATATAATTTTCTTTGACATGTATTCAGGGATTCCTCAGTGGCTCTCCACATACTAGTACACCGCTAGAGCAAAATTCAAGAGTACCCTATGCTCGCAATATGGCTCTCATATCAGACAAGCTTTATGAGGTATTTGGGAACTAATTATATCAATGTTTCACTGCGTTTTAACAATTGTTATATAATATAGGGTAAAAAAAAAAAAACTTAATCCTTGGAAATATTCTTCACTTTCATTTTAGGCCTTGAATTTTTTAATGTATGAGTTAGTCCTTAAATTTATAAAAGTTGTATTACATTAATCTTTTAGTTAGGTCATCTTGAGACACTAGAAGGATTATGATATAAATTTTAAGGACCAATAGGCAAGATATATATAAATTCAGAGACTAATCATAATACCTTTTAGGACAAAAGTTGCCTACTATAATTTACAATAAAAACCTCTTCCAGCAGCTTTCTTGAAATGTTTATTATTGACAAAAAAATTTGGTGGTTAATATAAGTCACTCTCTTCACAGGCAGCCAAAGAAAAGTGCAACGGTTGGTACTACAAAGTAGATCCCTTGGATGCAAAATGTGTGGCAGCACTTCAACCAATAGCTGAGGTATTAAGGCTATTGATGTGTTGACAATTCAGGATAAAATATTGTGTATAATATTTTTTCTCAAAACATTTTAAAGTAAAATGTGTAGTTGGATATCCATAATTGTAGTGCCTTGGCGATCTTTATGAAGACAATATTTTGGAACCTAATTGTGCTCGAATATCACCAAAACCAGATGATGAATTGGTTCAAAGAGCCCTCAAAGAAGTCAAGAGATTCCCCCATCTATCTTTAAAACATAAAGCTAGAGACTGGTGGTGCAAGGTTTCAACTAAATTACATATAGTTGCCTTTCATATATGTGCATTGCTAATATAATTTTCACACCCAATATTCAATTTTTTGTTTTGTAGAATTTTGTTTATATACTTTCAGATATATGGGCAAATAATAAGACTGTTCAAGAAGCTCTACACGTTCGTGAGGTATGATCATACCAGTTGTTCATTATTAATGCTACATATGTGTTCTCTTATATTCCAACTACGTACAATTTCCCCTTCATGAAAATTAGGGAACTATTCAACGATGGTATAGATGCAATCTAGTCGTCAATGCCACATATAATAAAGACATTAAAGATGTAGTTCCTTACCAGAAGAGTCTTACCAGGGCAGGTTTACAAGTATTACTTTACGTGTAAGACACTTTACTATATCTTTATTCATATTCACTTTCAATGTGTCAACACAATAATGAAATAATATATTAAATTAGAATATAAAATTATTAATACTGAAAAATTTAGTATTAATTTTAAATAATATTGTTATCTTTATATTTAACTCAAATTTATAAGTTAGTTTATATATATATATTAAAATTTTGTAAATAAATTTTTATATATACGTTTATTCTCAAT